CCTTTCAGTTGTGGCAGAAGTGAAAGGAAACATTCCACGGGCACAAGTGCCCTTTCATTTGTCATCAAGTTGTAGTTTCTAGTGCTTTCAGGGAAGAGGTAGAGAAGACTGAAACGAGGGAGCAGTAAAGGATGGTAGGAGCCACCTGACCAGCTCCTCACTGGTTTTCAGTTGAGGAAAGGAAGGTTCAGGGTGGCTTGGCTGAGGCTATGGGAGTTTGGTGCCCCACAGACTCTTCAAGATAGAAGATAGACACCTGTCATCTTCCAAAAGATTGGAAGTCAAAAATAACTGCTTAAAAGCCATTAAATTAAAGGGGTCGCACGCAGGCATTGCTTCATGCCTCTATCCCTTTCCTCCCCTGATCTGCCCTGGACATCTCCTGGGCATAAGCCCAGCCTCTTTCCCCCCACCTTCCCCCCTCAGTCTTTTCCCAGGCCCCTTCCACTGACAGCTGTTGGATACCAGGGAGAGTTGCGATGAAGTTTCCGCCTAAGTTAATCACTTAACTAGGAAGGGGACGAAGGCTATTTCAAAGCTGAACCGAAGATGTGCTGTGCGTTTGGGTCCCTCTGTTCTAGTGGGCTAGCTGTGAGGGAGCTTCCTGCAAGCAGAATGCCAACATCAGCTGCTTAATTAAGAAGAATAAAACACCACCCTTGGAACCTTCGAGTCCAACGCTTAGGCGTCTACTCATTGTCAAATCTCAGCTCTGAGTAACGAGATGAACCATGGATTTGCCAAAACAAATGCAGTCATGGTGGCAGGAATGGCCAAAGGATAAAACTGCCACTCTGGGCTGGGCTGGGTCAGCCAACACCTTCTGTTAGGAGGACATTAAGATCAAGATGTTTACGTAAAACCCCTGGAACAACCCACGCTTTCTCAACCCAGCAGGCAGACGTTCCCGGGATCAAGCAGGAGGGAGCCAGTGTGAGGTAGGCCAGCAGCAGAGGCTTGTATTGCACAAAAATTCTTTCCTTATCGATCCAGGACTGTAAGTGCTTCTAATAGACCACTGGACACGTTAACATTTAGCTCAAATTTTTGGTCCAATTATTAAAAAAAAAAACTATTGTGATGAAATATGTCGCTGCTGTCAGGTGCTATGGAGTCGACTTCAACACACGGCAACCCCACGTGACAGAGCAGAACTGCCCCGAAGGCTTTCCTTGGTGGTAATCTTTACAGGGGAGCATCATTAGGTCCTTCTCTCGAGGCTGCTGGTGGGTTTGAACTGTCAACCTTTGGGTTAGCAGCTGAGTGCTTAACCATCTGCACCACCAGGGCACCTGTAAAATTCACCACTGTACAAACTACAGTTCATAAAGTATATGTTCTCCAAGTCTGGGGTCTTCAAAGCTTGTGAGCAGCCACCCGAGATACAACTATTAGTCTTCTCTCGTCTAGAGCAAAAGAGAAGGAAATCAAAGACTCAAGGAAGAAACTAGTTGACAGGAGGAACTGTCTATATGAACCTCTTCTACCCTGAGGCCAGAACCAGCTGGTGTCTGACTACTACTACCAACCATTCTGATCAGGGCCACCAGAGATGGATCCAGACAGAATGGGAGCATAACGTGGAACAGAACTCAAGATCTTAAAAAGTCTAGACTTAGTGGACTGGTTGACTTCCTGAGACTACTGTCCTGAGTCACTCTTCAAACCTGGAACAGAAACTATCCTGAGGTTGCCTTCTAGTTAAGTAACTATGGCTCATAAAAAAAAAAAAAAAAAAAAAGAGTATGAGTACTGCCCTCCTTCAAAAAAACATCTATAGGAGACAAAATGGTCAACAATTACCCTGAAGCAAAGATGAGCAGGTACAGAGGCAGGGAAACTAGAGTATTGGAAACAGAGCAACCAGAACAGAATTAATGAGAATGTTGACACACTGTGGAAAAGGCAACCCACGTCACTGAATAATTGGTGTAGAAACTGTTAAACGGGAGCCTAATTTGCTGTGTAAACTCCCACTGAAAACACAATAGTAAATATTTTGTTTGCCATTATGACTATCTTCCCGTGTACAACTCAGTACCATTAATTACAATCACAATGTTATGCGACCATCACCAGTGGCCATTTCCAGAACTTTTTTGCCACTAAGAGAGATGCTCTGCACCCGATAAGCAACTCCTCCTCATTAAGTCCAATGACTTTTAAGGCTGTAAACAAACAATTCAGCACAAAATGCAATTAGCACGTACATTTCCCTCTAAGATGGAAAGACAATGACATCAGGGCAGACACTATCAAGTTGTTTGTTAAGGAGCTAGGGTGCCACAAGGGTATCTCTGGACCCCTGGGTACCGTCTTGGCCACGTTGCTGGCGCCACACCTGTTTGAGCACCTGGACTGTTGGCAGTGGCCTTGGGCACCGCTCTGGAAACTCACCTGGCAGTCCTGACAGCACAGCCCATGCGCACACACGGCGTCTGGCCTCAGGGTGCAGGTGGAGGCGTTGCAGCAGCGATTCGTACACTCCTGGGGAGGGGGACGAGAACCATCAGACAGGGTCAAGGAGCAACTCTTCACTAAACATCCACGTCACACCCTAAGTGACTGCAAAAGGCAAGAAGGAACAAGAGGCCTGGCTCCTGGCCTGAGACCTGCCTTGACAGTGGACTACTTTCATGTGAGAAAGCGAAGCTCCTATGAAGTGTTTATGAACTGACTGAGTCTGCAGTCCCTAGGAGGTGTCCGTAGACA